TTGACAGGGTCGGGGGAGATCGCACCGCATCGGCGATGCATCGGCAATGCATCGGAGCGGTCGGGGTTGAGAAGCTCAGCTTCTGGATCGCGCCGCGATGCCGACGCGTCGGCCGAAGCTGTGCGGCCCCCAAATCCCATCAGCTTCGGCTCCGCCTGGGCGGCCTGGACCGATGGGACCCCCCAACCCCCGACCCTGCACTCCGTGAGCATCGTTTAACCGATCCCCATCGCCAGCAGCGTGGGCTGGGCCCCACTGGCCGATTTACCCCCCTGGATGGGGATATCGGCTGCTCTCTTCGGGTTTCGAGGGGCATATCCCCAACTGAGGTGGTGAGACGGTGGGGCTCGAGATGTGGATGGGGATGGGGATGGGGATCGGTTAAACGATACTGACTCCGCCCGCACTCAGGTATCCCAAGAAGACATACGCACCCAGCCACGCACACGAACACGACCCCCCGAGTCCGCGGGACCTGCGTATCAATTACGAGCGCTCGCGCAACGCAGATTCTCGCTTGAGGCGGCCAAGGGGTCTACACTAGATGGGCCCCGAGAAATTCGGTCAAGACGGGAAGGGGACACAAGCAAGACCCAGGGCCCATCTGGTGCTGCTGTTCACCCCGGGTCTGCTCTTGACGATCCTGAGGCCCCGGCACGGCCCCAGAGACCGACACGAAAACCGAGAGCCTCCTCGAACCCCGAGACCTCGAACCGCTCCCCCCCGCTGCCAGCCGGAGCCAGTGCTGGGCCGCCTCAGCCCCCCAGCCGGCTCCAAGTCGTTATGTCCGCTCCCGATCCACCGAACCCCACGCCGCTCCGCCTCCGCGCCGCCTCCCTCGGCGCCGCCTCCGCCCTCCGCGCCCCTCGGAGGCGACGCAAACGGCTCCCAGCCCAGGAGGCAGCACAAGATCCCCGCACGAGGCGCACAGTGCTCCCCGCTCAAGGCCCCCGCACGAGCAGAGGCGGCGCGCAAACATGGACTAGCGATCCATGGACTTGGCGCGGGGTCGCCAAATCCATGGATCGGGGGAGGTGCCCTCCCCAAAATGCGGCCGGCGCCGCCTCGTTCGGCGGCGGACATCCACGAAACTCCGTGGAAGCTGGGCCCGTCGCTCCTCCACGCCCCCATTAGTCCATGCTTTTGCGATCGCCTGAGAGTGCTCCTCCTACTCGGAATGCAGCGTGCTGTGCCCGCCCGCTGGGCTTCTCGCCCCTCTCCCTCGCCATCGCTCGGACGTCCATTCCCTGTGCATTTTTCGGTTTCGTGCGTGGTTTTTTCGCCAGATGATCAAGGATGCTCCTCGATGGTCCCCACCGAAGAAAAAATGCACACGTCCGAGCGATGCCAAGCTCCTCGCCCCCGCGCCGAGAGGCCGCCGCGTTTTGCCCGCCGCCCCCGCGCCGCCTCCGCGCCGCCTCCGCCGCGCGCCGCCTCCGCGGCGCCGGCTCCGCGCACGACGCCTCGCGCAGGAGGCCTGCCCGTGCGCGCCGCTCGCGCGAGCGGGGGGGGGGGGGCGGCCCGCTTGGCCGGCGCCCCCCCCCTCGGCTGGGGCTGGCCCTCGCAGGGGGAAGGAACATGCGGGCCCTGAGAGTGTACACCACCACCACGCCGGCTCCTCCTCCCTCCTACACCCTCGTCTTCCTGTCCTCTTTCCTGGAAGAGGGAGGGGGGGGGGAGGTGGTGGTGGTGTATACCCTTGGGCCCCGCAGAACAGTGACAGAAACATAAACACTCGGAGGCCCGCGCGGATGTCTCGGATCCGCGCTGGACCTCCCTGGCGGCGCCTCCGCCGCCCCTGGCGCGCTCCGCGCGCCAGGGAAGGGGGTTCAGCGCCGATCCGACAAACCCGCGCGGACTTCCGAGTGTTTATGTCACTCTTCGTTCCCCTATATCGGAGCACCCAGATCCGCCGACCCCGTCGGCGTGTGCGAGGGGCTCTCCCAGCTGGCCCGTCGTCGTCAGAGTCGCTCCCCCTCCCGTGGCGCTTTTCCGTTTGAGAAGTTGTCGTCGTCGCCGTCACCACTCCCACTTACGTTCTCTGGGCCCTCATCATCGAAGTTCCCAGTCAGAAAGAAGTCGAGCAACCCCACACTCGAGTCAGATGGAAGCCTCGTCCTTTTGACCCCTCCCCCGCCAGGCGGGGAAGTATCCCAGGGGTTGTCCCTGGTGGCCCAACCCAAATCCCTGTGGTGACGGGCCACGCTCGGGTGCACGAGGTATGCGCACGGACCCCAAGATCCCGCAAGTAATGAAACATGATCGACCCACGAACCCGGAAAGGAATATAGAAATGTACGGCATGGCAACGTTTCAAAGACACTTGATTGGGCGACGGGCAAATGCAGTGCTGAATGTACAGGTCTTGATGTACTGTGCCGAGGGCTGTGCTGTGCTGGCCGTGCTGAACTGCGATGTTCCATGCCGCGATTGTGCTCTATATAGCGTTGTGGATCGAGTCCTCCCTGGCATCCGAGTCCTGACCGAACTGATCTGGATCTTAAGCTCGAGCTGCCTGAGCAGATGGTAGCTGCCCCAGAACTAATCGACAGGGGGACATGCCAGGAGGACGCGCCGCGGAACGTTCCAAAGGACGCGCCAGGCGACGGACGTGCCAGGAGACGTGCCATGGGCACGCACCGCGGGACGTGCCAAGGGGACGCGCTACGGAACGTGCCAATGGACGTGCACTGCGCGACGTGCCAGGGGAACTCGCCACGGGACGCTCTGCGGAACGTGCCAGGCAACATGCCAAGCTGCAGTGCTCAAGGTATCGATATTATATGTACCGTGCCGAGGGCTGTGTTGTGCCTGGGCGACCTGGACACGTGAAAACACGCGTTTCGCTCAAGACGTTCTGAGCACATCCTCACGCTAGACATCCGCCTGGGCAACCTGGACACGTGCAAACAAGCGTCTCGATCGAGACTTCCTCGACACATCCTCATGCTAGACATCCGCCTGGGCGATCTGGACACGTGAAAACAAGCCTCTGGTTCGAGAAATCCTCAACACATCCTCATGCTAGACATCTGTCTGGGCAACCTGGAGGCGTGAAACCAAGCGTCTCGCTCGAGACATCCTCAAGACCTGGGCACGTGAAAACAAGCATTTCACTTGAGAGGTCATCTGAATTCAGGTCCCCAGGAGAGGACAACATTTAACACAAAACAAGCGTTTCGCCGCTCGAGACATCCTCAACAAATTCTGAACAACAAGCGTTTCGCTAGGGACATCCTCGAATTTTAATTCGCCCGCCCTCTTCCCACTCGCTATTTATCGCAAAAGAAGTCCGCCGGCCCTCTTCCCGTCAGATCCGGGGGTAAACCTACTAAAAGCGAACCCTGGGCCTACGCCCTTTCCGGGAAAAATCACAACGGACGGTTTTTCCCCACCCTCGGCCTCCAAAGGCCGTGACCGGACTCCGGGACCGTCAATGACGGCTCAGGATGAAAAACCAGTCCCGGGGAATATGTCGAGACTTCTGGGGGTCCACTCTATGACATAACATGACGTCGGGGGTCTGGGGCGAAGGAAGGGGGGGCCGCGGAACGCGCTGAAACAAGATGAGGAGGCCATAACATATGGGAGACGTCATGGCCCCAGTCATGCCATCCGGCCCCCTTTTATCCTCATCCCCTTCTTGGCCGCTCCTGACATGCGTTGGCGGTCCCATGGCCGTGTGGCGACGGACCGTCAAGTGACCTCTGAACGCCCAGCAACCTCACCGCGCGGTCCGTCACCGCACGGTTCTGGGACCCTGGAGGCCCGGGTCGCCCGAGACGGCATCGCGCAGAACGACGCGAGTCCCAAAACCCTGCGGTGACCCCGATGCGGGCCCGAACGAGGGGGGTGCCAGCGCATAACACGCGGACGACGGGGGGCGACCAGGGGGCGTGGAGAGAAGCAGACGGGGCTGCGAGGTCTCCCGGACGCCATGGCCCCAGCCACGACATCCACCCCCCCGAATCCTGAGCCCCCGCCTGGACGCCCCCGAGGCAGACGACCCCTGGACCCGAGGGGCTTCCTCCGGGACCAGCCCTTCCTCCTCCGCCCCTCCGACCCGCGGGCCCCGGGAAACCGACAGGGGCGGCAGGCGTCCTCGAGCCCTGCCACTGTTGGCGCGCTCTCTTCACGACGCGGGCCTCGCGGAGCCCCGGCCCTTGTTCTGGGCGCGCCCCTTCTCGCCCGCCTGATGGCCCCAGCCCCGAATGCACAGACCCCGGGCAACGACGTGGAAGAAGAAAACCGCGACTGAAAAAACCTCGCCGGGCGTCTGGGTCTCCCTCAAGACCGCGGGGGCCTTCCCTTGGGGCGAGACCTTCATCCTGAGTCGTTACTGACGGCCCCGAGGCCCGCTGAGGGCCCCCGGCGGTGAAAACTGCCAAAGACGTCAGACCCGTTTTCCTCAGGACACGGCTGCTCCATGTGAGCGCTTTTCGGCGTTTCGACATTGGGCGGAAGGGAGGGGGAGGGGGGGGGTCTGGCTCTGGACCTCTGCTAAGCGCGACTGTTTGCAACAGTTTGTCCTAAGGGGGGAGGGGCTCCACCTGCTCGAATCAGGCGCCAAAAAAAGCAGCCAAGACCTACTCCGTACGGGGGGGGAGGGGGGGGTGCGAGGGCCCGCGCCGATCGGCAAAACTAATAAGAAAACGATCACCACGGCGCATCAAAGTGTTGTTTGATTTCCCCCCCGCAACGCCTGCAACGGGGAGAGGGGGGAGGGGAAGGTCGGCCCCGCGAGCGCCGCAGCGTGCCTGCGAGCACACCACAAACAGCAAGCCCGCCGGAGAGCCTGCGGGCGTGGGGTAAGCGGGAACAGCTACGTAAACTCGGCCAAGAGAACCTCAGCCTGGCCTGAAGAACTCGGCACAGGCCGAGTTCTGCCTGGCCGAAATCAGCCTGGCCGAGGCACTCAGCCTGGGCCTGGTTCGGCCAGGCCGACTTCGGCCTGGCCGAGCCTTTCCCTTGCCTATCCTGTGTTACCCCCCTGACACACATCACACATCATCACAGCCAACATGCAGCGGTGCCGCCACGAGCTCTGCGACCCCGCGATCGCCAGCAGCAGAACTACCCCGCAGCGTTCGGGGAGACGCAAGACCCGGGTACGGGGGACTCGGGTTCGCCTGACGAGGCCATCATAAAAATGACGAAGGCCAATCTGAAATCTGACGCGAACTCCCGCTGCAAACGTTCCACGAAAACTGGACCGTCAAAGTCCAGGGCGCGCTCGTCAAAAAGCGTCGGCAAACCCGAGTTCCAGCTTACTCGAGTCTTACGTTTCCCCGCAGCGTGCAACTGAGGAGCGCCTGGCCAGCTGTGAGACCTCCACGCCACGGCGCCCCGCTGGCCTGGCCGGCGCGCCCCGCCTGGCGGCCGACCGCGCGCCTCGCCGCCGGCTTGGCCGGCGCGGCTTCGGTGGGCCGAACACTGCCAAGAGCCCCCGGACCCTGGGCATCGTGTCACGGATCCCTACAGTCGGGGCCTTGACCTAAGGAACCCTAAATAAGGAACGAGGCCCCTTTTCTCCACAAGTTAAACTTCGATGTCCGATCGAGAAGATAAGGACAACCTGAGGCAAGCTGTGAAACACCTAGGGAACGCTGAGCACCTCCCCAACCAAAAGGGTTCCTTCTTCAGGGCCCCGACTGTATCCCCTTTGGCGTGGCCCGGGCCCCTCAGGCCGATGAACCCCACCTAGATGAGCACAATCATAGGCTGCTCCCTTCGGGCTTCAAGGAGGAGATCCCCAACTGGGAAGGTGGGATGGCGGGGATCGGAATGGGGATGGGGATGGGGATAGGGATCGGATAAACTGCACTGAGACCGGTTTCCCTCGGGAAACGTTCGCCCAGTGTCGGGAGCGGCCAAGAGGGGGGTGTCCAAGAAGGGGGGGTGCAAATCATGACCGGCGGCATGTGCGCGGCCCAGCGGGGGGGCCTGGGACGTGATAAAACAAGAAGAGGCGCCATGAAATCTGGGGAAAGATCATGGCCCGCGCCATGAAATCCACCCCCCCCCTAGTCATCACCCCCCTCTTTTCCGCTCCCGAGCTTGGCGAGCGCCTGCGCGCGACTCGCCACCGGCTCAGCCGGCGGCCGGCGTCTCCGGGCCGCCGCGGGCGCGGAGGCACTGGCTCCGCGCCCGCGGCGCATCAGCGACCCCGGCGACGCATCGGCGACGTCGGCGCGAAGAACATGCAGCTCCACATCGAGGCGACGAGCCCAGGGGGGAAATGAGGAGGAGAAGGCCTTCTCAGAAGGCCGCGGAACTTCTTAGAAGTCCGGGGGGCTTCTGAGCGTTTGTCCTTGGCCTATTTCGAATAACAGACAGAACTTCTCAGAAGCCCTCTCAGAAGTCCAGAAACTTCTCAGAAGCCTCGGAAGTCCCGCCCCTTCTCATTTCCCCCCCGCGCCCGCCGCCGAACATCGAGGCACATGGCCGACGCATCGGCGATGCGGCTCGATCGTGCGGCCCCTATCTACGCGGATTCCACTCGACAGGCCTTTGACAAAAAGAGGCGTGTCTTTCGGGAGATGGCATGGCCAGCTTGCTCAGTGGGTCATGCGGGCCGCCCGCGCGGCACCCCGCATCGGAAACGAAAGCGCTTGAGCGCGACCCTACGGGGGCAGCTTCCGCGCGCATGTCTGCGCAGACGGACGCGTTTTTTTGTTCTCCGTCGCTCATGTGAACCAGACCTCCGACGATCTGACTTACGGTCGAACCTAGGACAGAAGAACATCCTCCAAGAACATGAGACAATCCGTCGGCCCAAACTCGAGACCGTTCGAGGGCACCCTTCCCCAGGATGCCCAAGAACATCCAACAACCACGAAGAGCAGTAGGGTACCCTCCCCGAGCCCACCTCGATCTTATACCTCGGTCCGATCGTGTTCGATCCAGGCGGTCTTCCTCGAGTTGTGGGCCTCCCTCGAACCCGTCGTCGGGCCCGGGAAGCACCCTACAAGTGGATGCAGGACGGAAGGCTAACCCCCGGGAAGCAGTCAGGACCTCCAGGGCCGCGGATTGAAACATATACGTATGTAAATATATATATATATATATATATATATATATATATATATATACATACAGATAAGTAGGTAGGTAGGTAGGTAGGTAGGTAGGTAGGTAGGTAGGTAGGTCGGCACATAGCTATACATACATGAATGTAGCTCGATAGATGCTTCCACATACATGCATATGCATAAATGTGTATATATACATATAAATACATACATATAGACATATATACATATAAACATATATACAGAAATACATATATACATATATAGCTATGCAGCTATATCAATAGATCGATAGGTCGATAGATCGATGTAAAGATACATAAGTAGATAAGTAGATGGATAGATAGGTAGGCGAGAACGCGTTTCACGGGCGCTTGCCTGGGGAACACTCGGCGGCGCGCTTCGAACTGGGGGGTGGGCCCCCCCCCCGCAACACTCGGCGCCATCGATTAAAAACGGGGGGACTCCCCTCCCCCCAAACCCTCCCCTCCCGAACCCCCCCCCCCCTCGGCGCCGGCGCCGGCACTGGTGGCCGCCAGCAGCGCCCACGGCGGGAACGCAGAAACGATAACCAGAGGCAGCCCAGGAGGGGGGGGGGGTTGAAACCCCCTCCTGGCGCCGGGGAGGAGGGGTTTCAAAACCCCCCCCCCTCGCGCCGGCGCCGGCGCAAACGGCGGCCAGCAGCGCCGGCGCTGGCGCCGGCGACGGCGGGGACGCAGCAACGCTTACCACCACTACAACCACCACCACCACTACCACCACCACCGCCTCAACCCACCACCACCACCACCAACAGCACCACACAACCACCACCACCACCACAACCACCATCACCACAACCACCACTACAACTCACCATCACCACCACCACAACAAAAACCCACCACAACAACCACAACCACCACAATCTACCACACCACCACCACCACCGCCACAAACACCACCACTACCAGCAGCACAACCCACCGCCACCACCACGAACCACCACGAACCACCACACCACCACACCACCACCACCACCACCACCACCACACCAAACGTCCACAAACCACCGCCACCACCACAACCCACCACCACCACCACCAACACCAAAAGCCACCACCACGCCACCACCACCACACCACCACAACCACCACCAACACCACAACTCACCATCACCACCACCATAACCACAAAAACCCACCACCACTACCACACACCACCACCACCCACCACAATCTACCATAACATCAGCACCACCGCCACAACCACCACCACTACCAGCAGCACAACCAACCACCACCACCACCACAAACCACCACACCACCACCACCACCACCGCCACCATCGCCATCACCATCGCCACCATCACCGCCACAAACCACCGCCACTTCCAAACCCACCACCACCACCACCACTAACCACCACCACACCACAACCAAACCACCACCACCACCACTACAACCCACCACCACCACCACACCACCACAAACCACCCAAACCACCACCAAGCCACCACAACCACCACCACCGACCGCCACAACCCACCACCACCACCACAACAAACCACCACCACCACCACAACCACTACCACCGCCACCACCACCACCACAACCACCACCCACAACCACCACCACCACCACCACCACCACCACCACCGTCGTCCTCGTCGACGCTCCCCGCCACCGCCGCCCGCCGCCGCAGGCGCCGGCGCCGGCACAAAAATGGAATGGAAATCGTCGTCCCCACCGCCGTCGCCAGCCGCCGCCGACGCAAGCGCCGGCCCGCGGAGATGGGAAGCAGGAAGGGGAAGGGGGGGGGGTTCGAACCCCCCCCCCGGCACGGGAGGGAAAGGGGGGGGGGGCTCGAACTCGCCCCCCTCCATCACGGGAGGGGGGGTGGGCTCGAACCCCCCCCTCCATCCGTGGGGGGGGGGTCCGTTTCCACCCCCCCCCCTCCAAGCGACCACCGAACGCGCTCGTTCATAGGTAAACAGACCTGGCTCTTGCGAATCGACGCTAACCGACGCTTATCAAGGGCTCCTAAGTTCGCGCTTCGCGCTCCGCGAAGCGCGAAGCGCGAATAACTTCGCGCTCTCGCGCCGCCCTCCCAAAGGGAGAAGAGGAGGACGAGGAGGAGGGGGAGGAGGAACGAGGACCGCGAAGCGCGAATAACTTCGCGCCCTCGAGGGAGCCCTTGCTTATCGAACCTACATCGGCGCTTGCTCATCGACGACCCGGCGCCAGCGCACACCAGCGCACTCGCAGGATTGCATCTCCAGGACATGAGGCTACAGTGACCTGCTGCCGAATCGGATCGGCGGACGACGGGGCCAGGCAACCCCGTGCGAGCTCTGCCTCTGCAAGCCAGGGCCCCGAAACCCCTTCGGGCCTCCGAACGCATTTGATGCTGCACTTCCCAGAATTCATTTGAAGCCCTGCCTTCGCAAATTCTTGTTTGATAGAAAGGCTAGGCAACCCCGTGCGAGCTCTGACCCTGCAAGCCACAGCCCTGAAACCCCTTCGGGGCCTCAGACTCGATGATCCTCAGAGCGTCTGTCTGCGCCAGCGTGTGCCCGTCCGCCGAAGACCTTCAATACGACGCAGGCGGTGCAGCGAGGACCGGCTCCTGGCCATCGCTCGGACGTCCACTCCCTGTGCTCTTTTCGGTTTCGTGCGTGGCTTTTTCGCCAAATGATCAAGGATGCTCCTCGATGGTCCTCGCTGAAGGAAAAATGCACACGTCCGAGCGATGCCAAGACTCAGGCCGAGCGGGGTAGACACACAGTGGGCTGACTGTTGTCGGCAGCGCTGGCGGACGCGAGCGCGACCGCCTCGGGGATCTAAAGACCAGGGTCAGTGCAAACCCGGGTCATTCTGGCGTTGCAGGGTCCAGCGAGATCCTGAAGGATCCTGCGCGCTGGCCCAGGTCAGTGCAGCCCTGGCCCTGCAGGATCTGAGTAAGCCCCGGAAACGGTAGGGCCGTTTGTTCACTGTTTCCGAAAAAATGTCTCTTGAAAATGGAAACGGCAACAACAACTGCGACCAGAAACGGGAAAAAGGAAAAAACCGCTCCAAGGTTGGAACCCGAGCCGAAACCGGTAAAACAACGGTGACGGAACCGGGACAAAAACGGCGTCGGAACCCGTAAAAAAAGGCAAAGCCGGAACCGGGGGGGAAAAAAACGGCCCTGTCGCGCAGGATCCTGCAAGATCCTGCAAGATCGGGCACCCTGGCTGACCCCCGTAGGCGTGGACCCCCCTCTCGAGGCCCCCGATGGGAGCTGGCGGGCCGCGCCAGGCACTGGCACGGGGCGCGCGGGAGCGAGTGCACATTGGGCTAACATGGGACGCGCAAAGACATACTGGTAGGATGTGTTCTCCTCGGAGGCGCGCGTCCGACCCGAACATACAGTATACCAATCCTGTAGCATACATCGCTTCCAGCGCGCTGCGGCCAGAAAGCGCCCGCCACGACGCACGTACCAGAAGACTCCTCGGTGCGAGCGACGCCCCTGGGGGGGCGGGCCACACACAGTGTACCAGCATGTTAGGGTCACAACGAGAACACACGCCCTGAAGACCATCGACAGAGTCAGGTGCTCGCAGGGCGGGAGGCCCGTGGGCGCCGCCGCACGCCCCACCCCGCTTCCCCCAGCGCGGCCACGCGCGCGCGGCCGCCCGCGGCCTGGCTCGGCCAGGGCTGGCGGTCGTTGCACGCGCCGCGGCGGGGCGGACGAGCCGCGGAGGGAGGTCAAAGAAGCAGAAGAAGAAGAAGAAGATGAGAAAGGAGAAGAAGAAGAGGAAAGAGAAGGAGAAGCGACACGATCCGCCTCCGTGCCTGCAGGGTACGAGCTGGACTGTCAGTCCTCAAAACCCTGAGATTCGGACCCGAGATTCTGAAACCAGCGGGACTTCTTCGGGCCCGAGGAGGCCGAAACACAGGCCAAGAGGACTCTGACCTACAACCAAGGCACAGTGGCGGGATGGGCCGAATGCCACTAGATCCACCGTCCCCTGTTGATGTATCACAAGATTGCCTGGCGTGCCACAGTTCTGATGGTTTTTGGTTATTTTTCAAATATCCCCTGGGGCTTCGGCCCAGCGCGCTGGCCACCCGAAGGTCGCGGCGCTGCACAAAAAACGTTTCCAAGACGGCCTCGATGGCTTCCAAGACGGAGATGGCCCAAGATGGCCTCCAAGTTGGCACAAGATGGTCCACGATGGCCTCCAAGACGGCCCAAAAGTGTACAAGGCGCTTCCAATTCCGCCGAAGAAGGCACCAAGACAGCTCAAGATGGCTCCAAGATGGCCCAAGACAGACAAAGAAGCTCCGAATAGACCTCCAAAACGCTCCAAGTGGCCTCCAGAAGGGCATCCAGGAAGGCCCGAAGAGGCGAAAATCATTGACGTACCGATGGTTTCTGAAGGATTTGGGCATTCGCTTCTTTTCGGCCTTCCGACGGCCCGAGACAGCCGAGGAGCCCCCCAAGATCGCACAAGAGGCCTCCAAAAGAACCTCAGCGGGTCCCCCCCAATGTTCGAACCCGGGGGGGGGGGGGGACATTCCTCTTCTCCCACCCGCCGGGGTCCGAATCCGGAGGGGACCCTACAAGCGACCAGAGAAAGCACTCTTTCATAGCTTGACAGAACTCTGGCCACAAAGTTCGGCCACACAGTCGCTTCCAGTAGGTGTCTTCGATCCGCCGCCCCCTGTGGTCTTGCCACAGGGATGCACGGCGTGCCAAATGTCTGAGAAATCTGGGTTCTTTGTAAGGTTGAACCCTTCGGCCGATCCCACCGGCCACCCAGAAGATCGCGTAACAGGTGTCTCCGGCAGGTCTTCTGCCCCAGAATGACCCGTACACTTCCCAGGTCGTCGGTCTTCCCGCTCCAGGCGGCCCCAAAGATGGCCTCCAAGACGGCTGCGAAGGCCCAAAGATAGCCCAAGATGGCATAAGATGTCCCCGACGGGCCGAGATGCTACGGCGGGCCGAGAGGGCTCCAAGACAGCCCAAGAGGCCTCCAAGAGAACCCCCAGGAAGGTCCGAAGAAGCCAAAATCGTTAATTGTCCAGTGATTTGTGAAGGCGTTTGATAATTTTCGGCTCTACGACACCCCAAGGCGGTCCCAGAGCGCCCAGAGATGGCCGAGCTCTGGCAACAAAATTCGGCAACACAGGCGCTTCCAAAAGGCAAGGGGGCGGCGGTGATATGCCGCAGGCGTGTTCGAATCCGCCGCCCCCTGCGGCTTGCCACAAAGGCGCACGGCGTGCAACACGGTAGGTAGCTGCTGGTGTCTTGGTAGTCCCCAAACGTGGTGGTGACAATACCTGGTGGTGAGTCTCGGGCGATTTGGTGTCACCACCCGGTTTGGGGCCTCGTGCGGTTTTCCGAGGATGTCCTGGACACTGGTGGGTCCAGGAGTCACAAAACCCGGTGGTGACTCCGCGTCCCCAAACCCAGCGGTGACCTTTTTGGGGATTCCAGGTCGCCACCTGGTATCTCACCACCCGGTTTGGGGGTTCCCAAGTGTCGGCCTGATGTGCCGGCCACCCGGAAGGGCGCAGAAAAGGTCTCTCCCGTCAGCGTTCCGCCCCGTAGGACCCCGAAACTTCCCAGGTCGTCGGTCTTCCCGCTCCAGAAGGCCTCCACGGCGGTCAGCATGTTCTCCAAAACGGCTGCGATGGCCCCAGGGGAGCCCAAGATGGCCCCACGATGTCTCCAAGACGGGAGTATATGCCCCCGAGATGGCCCAGTATGGCCCCAAGATCACCCAAGGCCGCCCAAGAGGGCTCCAAGACGACCCGAGAGACCGCCAAGAGGACCTCGAGGAATTCTCGAAGACGCCAGCATCATTCATTGCCCATTGATCGTTGAAACATTATGGTGTTTGCTCATATTCGGCTCTCCGACTGCTCAAGACGGCCCCAGAGGCCACCAAGATGGCCCCAAGAGCGCCCAAGGGGCCTCCGAGATGGTCCCCTAACGGCCCAGGAGGCCCCGAAGACGGCCCCAAGAGGGTCCCGAGACCGCCCATGAGACCTCCAAGACTCCCAAGGTGGTCTCCAAGACGGCCCTGAAGCGCCCCAAGAATCTCCAAAGTCGGCCCAGAGAGGCCCCCCAGACGGCTTTCGACGGCGTCACACGGACCAGGAACGCCCTCAGACGGCCAGAGAGCCTTCCAAGGAGCCTCCAGGCCCCCAGGAGACCCAAGGAAGCCTCCAAGAGGCCTCTAGGAAGCTCCCAGGAAGCTCCGAGCAGGCAACAAGAGTGCCCCAAGAGGCTCCCAAGAGGCCTCCTCCTCCTCCTCCTCCTCCACTCCTTTCCTTATACTTTGTCTTCCCTGTCGCACCCCGAAGCCTGCTTGTGAAGCGGGCCGGGCGTTTCGCGTGACTTCCTCATCACGTATGACCCTGCAGCTTTAAAAAAACAACAGTTTCACAGGGAGGGCGGGTCGTTTCCAACATGTGGCTCTCGCCTTAGCGCCGGGCACATTCATTTTTTTTACATTTAGGGCCACCCGGTTTGAGCAAGAGTGCCACGGATTGAGGGCGACCCGTTTTCAAAATGTGGCTCTCGCATTAGCGCTGCGCACATTCGTTTTCAACATTCGCAGCAACAGTTGCACATATTGAGGGCGGCTCCTTTTCAAAATGTGGCTCTCGCCTTAGCGCCGCGCGCATTCGTTTTTACAAACATTGCTACAAGGTTCCAAGGTTGCTATGATCAGCGTACCAGTGGCGTTTTGGAAGGATTCTGGATTATGAGGGTGTAAATATTACGTTGATTCGCGGCGTTGAACTCCCAGAAAGGGCGTTCTGGCAGGGTTCCCGATCGCCTAGACCAAATCATCAGGTTGATCCGTGGCGTTGGAATCCCGAGAACAATGTTTTGGCATGCTTCAGGGTCTTGGAACGGTTGTCTTCCAACGAGGCAGTTCCCTCTGTGGAAATGAACCATTGTAGGGGCCTATGAAGAGGGAGCCTGGAGGGAGGCTTTATACCAATATCGCTGGTAACTCTTGGGTTTACACTGGTCCTCCTCCTCCTCCTTTATCCTTCTTCACCCCTCTCCTCCTTATCTTCTGTCTCACCCACGTGTTCCCCGAAGGGGTCCACAACGGCTGGGGGAACTACATAGTCCGATAGCTTAGCCGAACTTTGGCCGCAACGTTCGGCCACATAGGCAGTTCCGAAAGGCAGGGGGCGGAGGTGATTCGCCGTAGGCGTCTTCGATCCGCTGCCCCCTTCTGCTTGCAGAGGGGTGCCTGGGGTGACAGACATTAGGTTGGTTCTGGCTCTTTCGAAAGAACTCCCATGGGGGCCTCGACCTAATGCGCCGGCCACCTGGAAAGCCGCACTAACTTCGGCCTCAATTGGCCTCCCTCCCCAAAATGGCTTCAAGATGGCCTTCAAGGCGCCCCATAACGACCCGCATGCCAGGTCATTGGTCTCCCCACTCCAAGACAGCCAAGATGGCTGATGATGGCGTCCAGTATGCATCCAAAACATGTAATATGGGGCCAGGAAAGCCCAAGAGGGCCCAAGATGCCCGCAACGTGACTCCAAGACAGCCCAAGATGCAACCAAGATAGCCCCAAATGGCCCCAAGATAGCCCAAGACGGCCCGAGAGGCCCCCAAGGGGCAACCGAGAAAGCCTCCAACACCCGAAGGCTGATGGAACAGATGATCCGAGAGAGGCAACCGAGAGAGGCAACCGAGAGAACCAACGTTTGGTGGAACATATGATCCTTTTAGCCTGGCCGAGCTCGGCCTCACCGTTCGGCCACCCATTCGCTTCCAAAAGGCAGGGGGCGGCGGTGATTCGCCGCATGCGTCTTCGATCCGCCGCCCCCTGTGGCTTGTCACAGGGGTGCAACGCGTGCCAGCCTTTGGGCCGATCGCGCCAGCATCCTACAAGCACCCGTAAACGTCCCAGGTCGTCGGTCTTCTCGCTCCCAAGACGCCCAAGATTGCTGAAGATGGCCTCCAAGATGTTTCCAAGACATTCAAGATGGCCCTAAGAAGAGCCCAAGATGACGGCACCGCGTCTCCCAGACGGCCCGAGATGCACCAAAGATGGCCCAAAAGTGGCCCAAGACGGCCCGAAAGGCTCCCTCAGCGATCTCTCCTCCTCTTCTGCTTTCTCCCCCATGTGTCCTCAAAGCAGTTCCACAACGGCTGGTTGGCCGAGCTCTGGCCACAACGTTCGGCCACATAGGCGCTTCCAGAAGTCAGGGGGCGGCGCTAATTTGCCGCAGGCGTCTTCGAATCCGGCGCCCCATGTGGCTTGCCACAGGGGTGCACAGCGTGCAAAACTGCAGGTGGTTGCCTTTTTGTATGAAGAAAAGGCCTTCGGCCTAATGCGCCGGCCAACCAGAAGGGCGCATAAAAGGTCTCCCCCGTCAGCTCTCCGCCTCACAGGGACTTGAATGAATTGTCCATTGGTTGTGAAAGGATTGTGGCTTTTGCTCACTTTCGGCTGTCCTCCGACGGCCCAAAGGCTGCCCCAGCAAGATGGCCCAAAGAGCGCCCAAGGGGCCTCCGAGATGCCCCCCTAACGGCCCAGACCCCCAAGACGACTGCTCCATTTTCCTCCCACACCTCCTCATGTTCTTTCTCCCTCACGTGTTCCCTGAAGGGTTTCCACAACGGCCGGGGGATCACATAGTCCGATAGCTTGGCCGAGCTCAGGCCGCAACGTTCGGCCACATAGCCGCTTCCAAACGGCAGGGGTCGGCGGTGATTCGCCGTAGGCGTCTTCGATCTGCCGCCCCCTGCTGGCTTGCTACAAGGGCGCACGGCCTGCCGGACTCTGAGCAGAGGTTGGTCCTTGTACGTCAAGATTCCCAGTGGGGTCTCGGCCTAGCCCAACGTCCATCCGAGCAGTTCCCAAAAGGTGGGAGACAGGGCCCCTGACGCCTCCGAGACGGCCAAGATGGCCCAAGATGGACTCCAAGACGGTCCCAAGACGCCTCCAAGACGGCCAAGATGCACCAACGACGGCCCAAGATGCGCCCAAGACGGCCCAAGATGGCCTCAAGATGGCCAAGGACTGCACAAGAGACTCCCAAGAGGCCAAAGGACCTCCAGGAGGCCAAAAACATGAATGGTCCCAAGGTGATTCAATGAGCTCAGCGTTCTCCCTTTTCGGGCTTCCGACACTCCAACATGGCCCCATCGGCCCCCGAGATCGCCTCAAGACGCTCCAAAAGAGGTCCCAGGAGGCCTCAAAGAGGCCCGCAAGATGGCCCAAGACGACCCAAGTGGTCCCCAAGACGGCCCCAGAGACCTCCAAGACGGCTTTGAAGCGCCCAAGGAGGGACCCATTACTGGCCAGAGAGGGCCCCGAGACGGCCTTCGAGGCTAAGAGATCTCGCAGAGATCCCCAGAGGCCCCCAAGAGGCCTCCCAAGAGCCCCCAGGAGGTCCCCACAAGGCCCTCAGAGGACGCTAAGAGGCCTCCTGTTACTCCTTATCCTCAAACTCCTCCTCCTCCGTTTGCTCCTCATCCTCCTCCTCCTCCTTCTCCTCCTCCTCCTACTCATCCTCCTCCTTCTCCTTTCTTCTTCTCCTCCCTCCCTCACCTCCTCCTCCTCCTCCTCCTCCTCCTCCTCCTCCTCCTCCTCCAAGTGCTCCCCCAAGCGGTTCCATAGCCTGGCAAGACTTCGGCCCACCGTTTGGCCGCGCGGGCGTGTCCAAAAGGCATGGGGCGGCGGTGGTTCGCGATAGGCGTCTTCGATCCGTCGCCAGCTGTGGTCTTGCCACAGGGTTGCCTGGCGTGCTAAATCCGCCGACACTGTCGGCGTGTGTGAGGGGCTTCTCCGTTCGACTCGTCGTCTCCGTCGTCTCCGTTCTCCCCCTCCCAGGGCTCTCCTCCTCAAGCGCGCTATCCAAAGCGAAATCAAACGACGTCGTAGTGGAGTCGAACGGAAGTATTTGAGTGTGCTGGTCCAGTTCAAGGTTCCCAGTGCAGTCTCGGCCGATCACGCCCCCCCCCCAGAAAATGCGTTCGCCACTGGCCTCCCCTCTGAGATGGCTCCAGGAAGGCTCCCAAGACGGCCAAGATGGCCCAAGATGGCATCCGAGACGGTCTCAAGACGCCTCCAAGACGGCCAAGATGGCCCAAGATGTCCTGCCGATGGACCAAGGCAGCCCCAAAGACGCCCCAAGGGGCATCCAGCAGGACCTGCTCGAGGCCACCAGCATTGATGTGCCTGTGGCTTATGTTACTGAATTTAGCATTCTCGCCGTCTCGGGTTTCCGACGCTACAAGAAGACCCATAGGCCCCCAAGATCGCCCCAAGACGGCCCCAGGGGCCTCCAAGAGGCCCGCAAGACGGCCCAAGAAAGCCCCAAGACGGCCCAAGAGGCCCACAAGACGGCCCCAAGACGGCCCCATAGACCTCCAAGACAGCCCTGAAGCGCTGACAGAGACGACTGCCCAGAGAGGGCCCCAAGACGGCCTCCGAAGGCTAAGAGGTGAGATTC